TTTTGGTTATTTGCTTACATGGAGGAACCTGACTGGAAACCGACCGGAAATTTCCTTAAACCATTGCTTAGCGCAATGAACAGGGGGGTCCACTCTGAAGACTGCCGACCGCGGGGGGGTTTTGTCCCACAGGGTTTTACCCTCCGCGTGAGGATCGGCGCGGCGAGGGGGTAGGTTCGAATTCGCCGCGCAACATTTCACCCCCACAGGACCCCGCCCACCCCCCCTCATGGTCCCACCTAGTACCCCAATGAGCCTTCGCACCCCCTCCTTGCGCAGTGTCCCCCACTATGTGTCGCCGTTATCGGGGCATGCTATCCTGTGCAGTCAGGGCAAGTGGGGGCGAGGCGCAGTCCCTTTGACGTATGTATCTCTGGGTTCTGTCCCTAGTCTCGGAGGGGGGCTTGAAGCTAAGAATATTTTTTTTCTTCTCCTCCCCCCTCCCTGGGCTCTTCTCCTCTCCCCTCCCTGGGCTCTTCTCCCCTCCTGCCTGGTACTCTCGGCCTGATTACCGGAGCGTCTGCTGGAGCAGACGCTGGGGGGACACACTCACGCCCGGAGGCGGTACGCACGACCCGTCGGAGGCGTGGGGAGATGGGGGGGCGCCGCGGTGGCAGCGAGCCAGAGCAAGCCACCTGCCGCAGGACGGGTTGACCCGAAAAAGATTTTTTTCTGTCACGTACCACAAGGTACCACAGCGCACACACATAACACATAACGAGCCCCTACGCACAGGTGTACCAATCCTTATACTGACGTATACAGCGCCGCACTATACGGCTCTATGGCTAGTTCCAATTCACTCTGACACGCTAATCTTGAAAACGCGTCCAACGGAGCTCCGTGTTGCTCCCAGCGGAATCCCCCGCGCTTCCTGCGGCCATGGCCGATGATACTAGTATGAGAGGTCATCTGGCTACCGCGAGAGTGACCCAACTCGTCAACATCGTCCGATGATGGTGCCTCAAAGTCAGCCTCCGGAGGCTATCGTGGGGTCGAGCCGGCGGTAGCCGTGACATGTGGTTCCACCACCCCTCGCAGGCTTTGCCTCTGACCGCCACCGTTCCCAGGCTGCCTAATGGGATGGAAAGGAAGGCTGGGCGAGCGTATAGAAGCGTGCTCGACCTCGTCGTGGCAACCTGCACGGCAGCGCTGGTAGGCGGATGAGCGTCGTGCCACCTGACCCAAGACGGGTCGCAGGCGTCGTACCGAGCGTGTCGAGACCGTGTCCTGATGTGATCTGCACGGGTGAGTCACGTCGGCGTCAAAGGAGCGACGTGCGACCTGTCAGAGCTTGATCTCCGATCTCAGCGGCGTCGAGTCGTCTCCGGCGCGCGACAAAGGTAC